CTACATACATGCATCGAGAACGGTTGCTTCTTTCCCTCACTTGTCTTCTTTTCGCTCTCTTTTCTTCTTCTCACTCTAACTATCTTTTTTTTTTATTTTTCGATCTCTCCATTATCTTCCCTCTTCCTATTTTCCTGCGTATTGTATTCTTAGAACTTCCCATTTTTCTTACTAACTCATCACTCGCCGTATTTGACCATTACTTTCAGGAAGAGCTTCTCAAGACTCATAGATCACAAAACTTCGAGCATATATTTAACTTTTTTCTTTATCTCTCTTTTTTTGTTCCAAAATTTTTCTTTCTTTTTTGGCAATAATCATCTTGAGTATGTACATGAAGGTGGTTGCGATGAAGAGTGCACACGCAATAACGAAAGAAACGATAACTTTGAATATTATTTTCATTCTGATTTCCAAAAAAAGAAGAATATTGTAAAAGACTTGTAAGTCTTGTACAATTTATTCTAGATATTCCGTTGATTTCTTTCGTTTTCTTATATCTGGTAGATAATATTCCATATTTGAACAAAAGTCTTAAGAATTTGTTATTCTTTAATTTAATCTTCTCTAGAAAAGAAATAATTTGATTATTCTATAGTTTTCGTGCGTCAAACAACTCTATTGATTCACTTCTCAAAAAGTATTTTAATCAATTTAAAATTTCTCCTTTTGAGTATAAATGAGTTTCGAGTTTCGCAAACTAAAGGTTAGTCGTTGTGCTGGCTGTAAAAAATGATGAAGTAAACGTTGGTGGAGTAGAAAAAATATTGAAAGCCTTTTTGGGCAATAATTGACTTTCTTTTACATTTCTGACTCCTCAATCGATTTGAGGACAAATAGACTACTGTTCGATAAGATTTGGAAGAACAAAACAACGACTAAGAATGAGAGAAAGCAAAGGTAGAGGAATAGCTGTTAGAAAATTGAGCATAAATGATAAAACTTACGAGATCAAGATAAGCCGAGAGAAAAAGAGAAATGAAGAGACATAAAGAGAGGTAAAGTAAAAAAGAAAGAGATAGAGAAAGGGAATGCGGGATAGAAGAGACAGATATGAGAAGGAAGAGCCGTTGAAACAGCAGCAGCTGTAGCTCGAGCAGTAACCAGCTTCCGGGCCTCCTGATACATATATCCGGCAAAGTTCTTATCTCTTCTTAAGATGTATATTATATTATTTTTTTTCTTAGAATTGAACCAAATAATTGGTTTTCTTCCATTTACGAAAATCAGTCTCGTAAATTCTATTTTGCTTCGCTTTTTTCTCTTACAGGTATACTAATAACATATTTTTACTTATAATCTTTAATCGTTCTTTGGAGTTGTTCGTAGTTTTTTTTTCGACTTTGAAATGTTCTCGCTCTCTCTATCTGTATACATGTCTCTTTGTATCTCTCGCTCACTTTCATCTTTCTCTCTTTCTCTCTTGTCTTCCTTGTAAAGGCAGAATAATAATAAGGAGCCACGGCTTCTCGAAATGAAGATTTTTGTATTTTGGAATAGATCTTCTCATATTCATTGCCTCATGTATAGTAAATCTCTCGCACATTTTGGAAGCATTTGTTTTTGGTAGCCTTTCATTCCGATGGCTCATCAAAATTCTCTTGAATTGTATATGAGTTCAGATGACTCCTTTACTATTACTTATATGAATCTTACTTATTCATACATTTTCCTTTTTCTTATACATACGTTTATGAACGTTTTGCACATTTTTCCTTATTCACCTGAATCACTCTCTTCATATTTCCTTCTCTTACAAGTTGCACTCTTCATTTCAACGCTTCACTCTTGTTTGCGTTTGATCGTCCAGTTTGAAGAAATGTTTGTCGGATATTCCTTGATTACGTTACTGTTCGCTATCCTACTGACAAAGTTCCTCAGCACAGAAAAAATTTGATAGCAATAATCAGTTCTTTTCTAACACTGCTTTGAAATGTTTTCGTTAATTCTCAAGCATTTTAAAGCTAAATTCCCTCTGACTTCATTGCCAGGTGTTTCACTTTGAATAGATTCTGTACGTTTTCGACTTCCTATGGTAGATTTTGCTTATTTCTTCCCTCTTTCATTTTTTTTTATTCATATGCTAATGATTATTCAATTTATACTATACACATATAGCTTATAAATATGAAATTTCCTTGGAAGTCTTTCTCTTTCGAGCTATTTCCTTCTAACAGGCAGAGGATGTTAGTTCGAATGAGTCGTTGCCCAGACAACGCCATCTTCCATTCAGCCGCTCCGTCTGAGGAGGGTTGCAGCCGTTGCTAAAACGAAGAGTCGCAAAGATTTTCTTGTATTTTTTACGAATCTTCTCAAGCTTCTCTCGATTTCTGCAATCATTTCATGTTTCGTTTAAAAACTCACAGAATCTATTGGAAACATTATGTTCTGTCAGATATATATCCATGTAGTGAAAAAGAGAAAAGACCGTTTTTCTGCTGACAAAACTAAATTAACTTCATTACTTATATATTTATTGGCATAATGACAAGAAAAGTGAACTTCAATTCGATGAATAGTTGTTTGAAAGCTTTTTTTGGTTTTAATAGAAGGAAATGAGGTAAAATAGCTTTATATGATAAAATACGATGAGCCTCAGAGTTTGAAATCCCAAATAACTGCTTTCATTTCCCATCTATACATCTTATTGACTTTGCTCTCGAATTTTAACAGCAAATCCACTCATTACGCTTGTTTTTATACACGGTTGATTGATTTACTAGCTTCTTATTCAGTCAATTATTCGTTTAACTAATTTTTTTTTATTTCTAATTTCTGCTTTCTGCCTTATTTGAAATTTACTTTCAATTCATCTTGTTGAACAATTTGATTGACTTATTTGGAGGTTTGCATGATACATCTTCTCTTTTGAGAGGAAATTGTCTTCAAATACATCTTCAATCTGTTTCAAATAAGATTTTTTTTCGTTCAGCTTATATGGACAATGTGTTCACATTTTATTTCTCAAATAACCAAATAGTGTGTAGTTGTGTGAGGCTGATGATGTTAAAGAGGGGGATGCATAGAGAGCAGGGTAGAAACAGAGAGATGAGGTGAGAGAATAATCTTAAATAAAAGAAAGCAAAACAGGTTTGAAATAAAATTATTATTGAATAGAAAATCTAATGGTAACATGAGACTTTCATCAAAATGACATGTTGGAAGGCATAGTGTCACAAATGACAAGGCTTCGCCACTATTTTCTACCTTTTTAGTAATGTTTCCGCACACCACATGCGGAATATGAAGAAAAAACAATAAAATAAGTTTTTATTAGTAAAAACCAATATCCAATTCTCTTTTTTATGAAATTGTTCGCTCAATAGACGTCATTGGCTTAGTCTAAAGATCCAAAAATAGCAAATGAGCTCTTTTTTCAATGAAAACAAACTAAAATACATAGAATATAGTTTGATTTTGGGATATGTTCAAGTGATTCTCTTTGCAAGCAATGTTTCCTTTTTAATTGATTATTGTTGTTTTCTTGCCTTATTTGGTGCTGCTCTTCAAGGTATTCCACCTTCACGTTTTACATGGATGTTATTGCACAATTGCATTATGATAATCAATGACGTGGCAGAGCGGTTGACTTTTTTCATTCCATTTTCAACATTTTTGCAAATTACTCATTTTTAATTTTTTTTTTCTGAAAGAGGAAGGAAATTTCGAGTTTTATCCAAATTTAAATTGAATCTCATCTCTTTCTTAATATTAATTCAATTTGTTGTTGCGTCAGAAAGTGATTTGTGATTGTTATATTGGAGAAGTTTAGTGGTTATTGGATAATGAAAGGGGGGGGAGAGAAGGGAAAACGGGAGTTAGAGAGGTAGGTTGGTGTTGGAAAACGAGCAATTATTCTTTAGTTCGGGATAGGGAAATCGAAGAGAGGAGTAATATATTCGAATGAGAAAGAAGCCAGTAACTAAAAGAGAAAAAGCAGACAAGAAACGAAAAATAAAGGAAAAATGAAATGAAAGAAATGAGGGTAAAGAGAAAGGAGAAAAAGAAATAGTGTGGGGAAGGAAGAGGATGTAAGAAACTGCATGAGAAAGTTATGAGAGATATAGAAAGAAACTGAGGGTGGAAAAGAAGGATATATTCATATTCACTAAGCCCACCCCTTCTCTTCTCCTTTTTCATTTTCTTAATGAATAGCGTCAGTGAGCTTCAGCTATTTCCATGAATGGACATGAAGATGAAACACATGGGAAATGCTTCATATGAACCATATTGAAGCAGAATTAAACAGGAAACAGCAAAACTTCTCTCGTGAAGCTTATGCTCTTGCCTTGTTTTTTTTCTCATCTTAGAACTAAAAGTTTAACTTCCCACTTTGTGCATCGATTTGTATTTTGCGTTTACTATATGTATGATTCCGGTTGAGATTCAGCATTAAAGTTTTTTTGAGATTATTTTCATTCATTTATTTCTCGAAACTTTGTTTTTGTGCTGCTGGTTTGTATCAAGCTATTCTAGAAAGAAAGAAAAGGAGAAAACATAACAAGCGAGAGATAGAGAGAGTAAGAAGGAATAAGAGAGACGCGAGCGAAGGAGCTCGAAAGAGTAGTTACTGGTATTCATTAGTAGTTTCAGATATTTAGATCTTACTCCCCCTATTTATTTTTTTCAAAGGTTTTAACTCTCAAAACTTCACATCATTCTTCATCCTCTCATTTTCGTATTTTCGTTTATGAATGTTTAAAAGTCAATGACTAATGTAATTTGCCTTGAACAGACAGAAGAGTAGCATGCACGTTTGCATCAACTTATTGTCTATTATTATTCTTATATTATGTTTGTGTCTTATTTTTCTTTTCTCTCTTACCGTTTCATGGACTAAACATTCTTAATTTGTGCATTTCAGCATTCAGGGTCTCATATCGGGTTCTCGAAATTGCGAAGCGTGCCTGGTTTTTTGAGGAATGCGAAGGTGATTCGGCGATTTGAATTCACATTTTAACCTGTATTGTATTCTAGGTGAAAAGAGGTCTAACCAGGGTATGGTTGTCGGTCCTATTACAATAATGAACGCAACCACAAAGTTTAGTGATAACTATGATGTCAAAGAAGAGCTCGGAAAGTAGGTTTTCCATTTTGAAAAAACCAATTTCTGAAAAATCGTTAATCTTCTTTGAAATGAAATTTTAAGTATTCTTCCATGAATTTTGTGTGAATTCGCAGTCATTTATCATCTTTCTTGTCGATATTTGAGAGTAAGAGAGGAATGAACATCTGGAAAGATGAAGCCAAATGGCGTCATCTCGGATCAAATGCGGATTTCGTTGCCCAGAGCAACGACAAACAACTCTTGATGATTAGAGTTGATAGTGAGAAGAAGAAAACGGAATGAAAGAGAGTGATAAGAAAATTTTATTAAATAAAAAGGTCATAATCATCGTATATCAGCGTTTTTCGTAATCTCAAGCTTGCGAAATGATAATTCATAATCTATCTGTTTCGCATATAGCACACCCACTCATGTAGCTAAGAATATTCTCCTAACTGAACACAATTCAGGGGAGCTTTCTCTGTTGTTCGGAGATGTGTGCATAAAACCCTCCAAGTGGAATACGCGGCTAAAATCATAAATACCAAGAAGTTATCAGCCAGAGATTTCGCCAAGCTGGAACGCGAAGCTCGCATCTGCCGAAAATTGCAACACCCTAATATTGGTAAGGTGTAACCAACAAATTCTTACCTTCACCTGCTTTCAGTTCGTTTACATGATAGTATTCAAGAAGAATCCTACCACTATTTGATATTTGATCTGTAAGCTTGTTGGCTCTACTATACATTATAAAATAATATTACAGCGTTACCGGTGGAGAACTGTTTGAAGATATCGTAGCTCGAGAATTTTATAGTGAAGCCGATGCCAGGTGAGAACATTTTATATTATAAACGATTGTCTAGCTATACTACACATTGAATCCAATAATATCATTTCAAAACACTAGACTCCCATTTCATTCATAGAAGGAGAAAAAAAGATTGTTTGTAGTTATTGTATTTGGCAAATTCTGGAAGGTGTCAACTATTGCCATGAGCGGGGCATAGTCCATAGAGATATGAAGGTTCGAGAATGAAGAAAATGTCTTTCGCTTTTTTTTCCAATTTCTAATAAGAAATATCTTTTTTTTGGATTGTAAACACTAGTTAAGACTTATCGAGAGGATTTACGCAGCTTTTCACTCTAACTAAGAACTAACGTATTGTGTGTGAAAGAAAAATAGATTAAAAATGAAAGGAAGACGTGTTGTGCTTGCTTCAAAGTATCAGATCAGTTGAATAGCTGGGCATTTGTTTTGTTTTTTTTCAAAATTTTTAACTGAAGTGCATTCTAATAATTTTTCAGTCATTGTATACAGCAGATTCTGGAATCGATCGCTTACTGTCATCAGAATTGTATTGTACATCGCGATCTCAAGGTGTGACAATAATTATTTGTTAATCTAACTCGTTGAAGTGTTGATGTTATTTTAAAAACACCGCTTGCTTCTGATCTAACTATATACGAAATTACTTTTCAGCCTGAAAACCTATTGTTAGCTAGTAAAGCCAAAGGTGCTGCTGTTAAACTTGCCGATTTTGGACTTGCAATTGAAGTTAGCCAGGTACTATCCTCTCTAGTGATATTTGTTTAATTTTTCCTATTTCTTCAGGACACAGAAGCCTGGTTTGGTTTTGCTGGAACTCCGGGATATTTATCTCCTGAAGTTCTGAAAAAAGACCCTTATGGAAAACCTGTTGATATTTGGGCTTGTGGTAAGTCGAGAGCTGAGTAGGCGTGATCGATTATGTTCTTTTTTAGGAGTGATTCTTTATATCTTATTGGTTGGTTACCCTCCATTCTGGGATGAAGACCAGCATCGTCTTTATGCTCAAATTAAAGCTGGAGCCTATGACGTAACATTCAATTAGTCATATTGTCTCATTCTTATTATTCTTTCCAGTATCCTAGCCCTGAATGGGATACCGTTACTCCTGAGGCGAAAAGTCTTATCGATAGTATGCTGACAGTCAATCCCAAAAAGAGAATCACTGCCGAACAGGCCCTGCGATTGCCATGGATTTGCGTAAGTTTTTTTTACCTTTAAAACGAAGAGAGCTACGGCGTTGTGGGTTCATCATCTGAAAAATGAAAACACTTCGCAAGAATTGAGATCTCCTAGAAGAAAATTTACATAATAATGAACTGAAAATGAAAGCGCATAATAAGGTTATTAACAATCATCATTTCAGAACCGTGAACGTGTTGCCTCTGCTATGCACAGACAAGATACAGTTGACTGCTTGAAGAAGTTCAATGCTCGTCGTAAGCTCAAGGTATGTCGAAGTCTGATAGATGATGGTTTAATTAATATAGTTAGTTAGACAAAGAAAACAAAAACAAACTTTTGATTTTTTGAAAGAAATAATGAAAATGAATGAAAAATTAAATACAACCAAATGTGTATTTTCCCATTTGTGTGGTTGTGTTCTTTTTTCTCTTCTCAATCAAATATCAACAATATGATGATCGAATCGAAAAATGAGATCAGAATTCTTATTTTAGTTCGTTTCTTGAGTTAATTTTTGGACGTTTTGTGCGAGAAATTCAGTTACTATCTATTTTTCCTAATTTCTTATTTTATCTTTCTATTTCAAACACAATATGAAGAAAAGATGAAAGTGAGATGTATAATCTTCTTCTCTACTCATCTGTTCATGTTCTTCTACAAAACGAAAAAAAAAGCAAAAAAAGAACCTTTTTAATATTATTTTGTATAATCATTTCCAATGTATTTATCATATTTACAGATATAATAGTGTTTTATATTAAGAAATTGATGCTTCTATCTTCCTTTTCTTCTCCTCAATTCTTCTTTTTTTTTGGTTTTTTTATTTTTTCCCAAGTTTCTCTAAGAATTTCTTGAATTCTTATTGAAATCTGTGAATTGAAACCCTTTTCTATCCTTATGTTTTCCTTTTTTTATTTTATTTCATTTATTTATTTTTCAATTGTTTTACCGCATGTGAGAATTTCGTTCTGAGCTGTGAATGTTTGCCCTTGTAAAGCATCTACACAATCTCTTCTGAAGTTCAACGTCAGTAGCTGAATATTTGTTGTGGAAAATTGTTGAATTGCACGAAAAAAAGTTACGAGCTTGTAGTGTGGTATGTCATCCCTTCGCCCCTTTGCAGTATCCCCCATCTGTGTGAGGTCTTTACGTGTTTTGGTTATCTCAAACATACAGAGAGTATAAGTACTTGAATCAAAACGAATGAATTGAGCACATGTAGCTCGGAAGGTGTTCATGTGTTTCATCTTCCTTTGCTTGGATTAGTCTCAAAAAAGTTAAATTTCCTTTTGTTTAATTTTGCAATTTGAGTAGAAACTAAATCGAGAAAAAAAAACAAAATATTATCATCACGACCATCATCAACCTACAACTTCTACATGATAAATGACCGTTTCTTCATCTCGTTTTTCTACCCTTGTTTCTCATCAAGGCTGCCATTTCTGCTGTGAAAATGGTAACCCGTATGTCCGGAGCTCTTCGTACCAGCGATTCAACAGGCAGCGTGGCATCCAACGGCAGTCAGCAGGGCCAGGATCCTATGGCTTCAACGTCTCAGCCCAGCAGTCCCCAACACCAACAGGCACACGAGGTAGAAGTCACACACACACACACACACACACACACACACACACATACACACACACGCGCACACACGTATACATACACGAACACATACACACACATACTCCCGATACCCGTATTTGTATTCAATCCCCATGTGCGAGATCACGTGGGTGGATTCCTAGTTAATCATAACACTTCTCCCTTCATCTTCCTGTAGTCACATACTTATCACACTTAGCACATTCCCAACACAAACGAGACGCTGAAATCATCTACTTAAACACCTCAATTCCATTCTGGAATTGAGACAAACTTCCTCTTGACGTTTTCACTTTTTTTCTAATTTAACGCCACGGCGATGCTAAAACAGACATAAGAGGGTTTCAAAATGATTTCCTTAGGAAGTTAGCTCAAAGGCTACAAACTGCACCTCCTGATAATTGTTTTGTAGTACTCACAGCTCACAATCCTCTGTATATGACAAAAAATCATCACCTTGACATTAAATTTTGATTTGTTCAATAAGATGAGAAAGGGAACAATCCTCAAGATTTGTCGTTTTTCAAACAAATGATTAGTCAGAAAAGGCCACAGATTATTGTCGTTGGTGATGGTTGATGAGATGGGTAAAACTTGGTAACAAACAAATTACAATTAAACATAAAATGAGAGAAAAAATCTGAGAAAGGTTGATAATGCTGTGCCTGAACGTTAAGCTTATTGTTTCACATGGCTTCAATATTTTTAACATGTCAACTGAATAAGTAACACAATTCAAAAGGAAAAAAAGTTTTTTAATTAGTTTTTTTGCCTTGCTGAGATGATGTGTTAAATTTGTTGTTCGGTTTGCAGTGCTTTTCTAGGCACTTTTATCGAAGATGAAATATCTCAAGCTGCTCGTCAGGCTTCATCATTTTCAGAAGGTCTTATCAGATTTTTTCTTCAGTTTGTTAACAACTAGACAAATTGTTGTTCGATTTGTCAGATTTGCTCATCTCATTCCTTTTCTCTCGAAGCTTCTTACCCTTCAATGTGATACTCGTTGTACTTTGTCATTCTGTTGTCTTCTTAAGCTTGCCAAAGTATCTGAACGTACGGTCACTTCAGATCATTTATAACACCTTGTGTCTTTCTTGTTCGTCACATTAATGTTGTCTTTTCCATATTACTTCTAAGCTTCAATATAACTTCAAGCTTCTGAACGCTTCAATGAAACTGAAAATACAACAGTTGCATGCGTAGCAGCTCGATTTTCTCTTCAAACTTTCTTCTGTCACAATCTTCTCTCTTTCACGCTCTCTATTTTACTCTCTCTCTTCTCATATTTTCTTACCTGTATTCAATATATCTCATAAATAACTTATAACAATCTCTCTATCTTCTTCTCTCTACTTCTCTCTCTCTTCTTGTCTCTCTTTTTCCTCTCTCCCCTTCTCTACATCCCTCTCTCTTCTATCTTCTTCTCTCTTCTCTCAACCTAATGAAATTCGAATTTTTTACTCTATTAAGTATTCACTATAAGAATCACCTCAACTGGGTTACTCATCACAAATCAAAGTTTTCATGCATAACTCTTAACACTTTGGGGAGGTGCACACGCTTTAACTGAGCTACGCGCACTTTTGGGTTCCTAACTTTGTCCGAACACAACAGAATCGCTAAAAATGAACATTTGAATCACGCTTTCGGCTAATACCAACCATAGACTCAGGCTACTCAGCTGGTAATTTCTTTTGTGCTTCAAAAAACTAATTTTGTAGACATTTGAAACGCTGATATAATCTCGAGCTTATGACTACTTGCTTTCACTACAACAAGCTTAGAATGGAATAAATTTTCTGTTTTTACTTTTTCTTATAATAACTTCTGTTTTCCAGGGTGCTATCCTCACCACCATGATTGTAAACCGCAACATGTCGAGTAAGTTCACTTCTACTTCATCTGGAACTCTTGGATCAGAAGGTAGGTGTAGTTGAAGAGCCAGACTGACCGATTGGCATGCCTCTCAATCGCTTTTTGTTGATGACAAGTATTCAATAGTTAGAATATGATAGTTCTTCTCTATCCCACGCGAAATTTTCACGTGGGAGTTTGAGTGAGGACACAACTCTCATTTTTACAATAACACAAACGCTTAGAACGGTTGTTCTGATATTGAAAAGCAACTTTCTTCTCGTTTCTAAAATCAAATGAGCCTGAGTTTTTGAACAGGTTTAAACTTATTCCGACGTAACTTTTGTTACTCACTTTAGGAATACATTGTGTATTAATTGTATTAGTTACACATAAAAATATAATACTCAATTTAGAAGTAAAATGATTGGCATGTCATCGGTTCAAAAGAATAAAGGGGAAAAGACAATTGAATATATGTGAATATGTTGGATCTTCCGACTTTAATTTGTTCCGTATGTGTCAAATGCGATGTCTTTAGACGTTTCCTTTACGTCGATTCCATCTTCTCTCCTATGTCTGTCCCATTCAGCTTCACCTTACCTTAAACTGTCCTAAGACGTTTTTATTTTTCAAAAATGGTTATGAAATTTGAAACAAAATCAAATGATCATGAGTCTCATAGACTGTATATGATAATGAATCAGGTACGGAAGAGAAATGTTGGTTGAAGAACTTTTAAACAAGCTTACAAAATATTATAAATTAAAAAGTTAGTGTTACAGCATAAGCTGTCACTTACACGGGTAACATTGGTCGAAGATCAACATTTATAATGTCGTGTCCACAGTGGACACAAACTGATGCTCCGGGGGTAGAAATATTGAACAACATTTGTTTCCAATTATACTATTGGTTGAGAAAAATATTTATTCGTTTCAAATAATTTTTTTGTGTGTATGATGAAGGTGTTCAGCCACCTACTGGGCTTTCATCTTTATTTTCGTTATTCCTTTTGAAATCAAAAAAAAGTTATTGGAGATGAGCAGAGATTACAGCAGATAATGAACTCTCAAGAAATGTGTTATATCATAAGTAGATTGTGATAATCTAAGAGAGTATCAGACAGGTGCATAACAATGACCGAGAGTGGAAGATGAAGAGTTGAGCTTTTCTGTTAGTTTGCTGTAATCTGGGTTTACGGAATCTCAGTGGATCACTGAACTCACTAAGAAAAGTCACAACATCTTCATTTCTTAGTTTCTCTTATTCTCTCATTTTTATAAGATACAAATGAAAGTCTCTCTTGATATTATTCTCTCTTAATATCTCCATCCCTCTCTTCTTCATAGCATCTCTTTCTCTGAAATTTCTTTTGATCTCTATTTCCTCTTCTATAATTTTCAACTCATTCTTATTCCTAGAGCATTTCAATTGAATCCCCCACTTTTCCTTCTATTCGCCTCAGAAAATCTAAATTTTTTTTTATAATTCTTTTTATTACTTCTCAACTTCCTCCATCTACTCCCTTAGAACTCATTAACGATGCTTCAAGAAAATAACACAAGTTTCTAGTTGATTTGATGATGAAACGGAAGTTCAGAAGTTTCACTTCATCACATTGGCTCGTTCATCAATTTTTTCGAAAGACAATCTGTTAGTTGCTTAAACATAGCTCCTCCAATCACAACATATTTATCCATAAACTCATTTTTTTTCTTTTTTTTTGATTTAACTTCCCCCATGAGTTCAATCAAGATTTGTTCTTCCATTGAATTTGATTGAATGACAAGAAAATCATCATCGTCATGAGTAAACATTTGTAAATTGGCTATGTTTGCTTCATCTCTCCACGAATCTGTTATAGCCACATTACAATTCAACTCTCCATATCGATCATTATATTTAAAAATTTCTTGAAATGCTTTTTACATTATTTGATTTCTAACAGATGAAGCTTTTGTGGTGATGAACGAGCTAGTTTGATTGCAATGATGTAGAATTCCGAATGAATCAGACGAGAAACCATTATAAGATTTCTTCTGGATTTCTTCACGTAAATCTTTACGTGAGCATCATAATCTCATTTCATCTCTAATTGATGTGCCTAACGGTCGTGAAGTCATTTGTTGCCAAATCTTTCCTTTTGTTTTCTTCCAAAGGAAACAATTAGACAGAAAGAGAAAAGAATGCGCTTTTCTAACCATTTAAATCTTCATTTTATTTCTTTTTTTTCTGATTCTGCCATAGATGCATTTTCTATTTTTTTCTTTTAGCAATCTTTACTTTGACTATATGCATAGAGGAAACATGAGTCCAGAACCATCAGCACGTTCTGTTCGTTTGGTAGATGCCCCCAGACTTGTACTGGGTGGATTAGCCGACTTCATGTCCAGAAGACGATCACCCTCTTTCTCACGTAAACGGGAAAAAGAAAAAGAAATTAATAATTTTGATCGTCGTAAAACGAGTGCACCTGCTGGTTTGCATTTGGCTGTCATGCCAGCTCTTGATGCCATAATGGTTCCTTCATCATCAAGTTCATCATCAGCATCAATTGCTGGACATCGTGATACATCAGATTTGAATAAAAATGAAACGGATGGTAACATGAATGCATCAACAACCCGAACAGCAATAGATGTAATGCAAAGACCACGAAATGCAGTATCTCCAATAGTTCGTATACAATACTCAAACGAAGGTAAGAATATAAAATGATATTTAATGATAACCAACTGATAACAACATATTCCATTTATTTGTAATTCAATCGTCCTCTATCTCATTTATTTTTTATTTTCGTCTTACATGGGAATATGGAAAATTGACACTTTTGCTTCAAAACCCATGTCAAACTTTCAGTCATTTTTTCTTCTAATATTGCATTCTTTGTCCAAATTTTCAAGAACATAACGAAGTCACTTGCCTGCCATTGAAATTTGATGGGAGTATGTATATGGCCGTATCCAAGTTTTTTCCACTCTTTAACCTTTCTTTTTCGTACTTCCATTTTCGGGAATGAATTCATATGTATCTCTCAACTAATCGTATAGCTTTCAATACATACATAAGTATTTTTCTTCCTCTTTATTCACCTATTTTCCTCCCTCTTTCTCTCTCTCCCACTCCTTTTTTCCTTCTCTCTTCCCTCTCCCTCTCTCTTTCTCTAAAAAGAAAGAAAAATTAGTGGATGTCAGGGCCTTCGTTGCCATCGCAACCATTGCGAGACTGCTGTGTGTCGTCTCGGACGAATTGCCAGCATTTGCTCATTTAGTCCGTCTTCTCTTTCATTCCTTTATCAGTTATTTAAATAAAATAAAAAAAAAACTTGACAAGATTCTCTTCTCATACTGCTAATCATTCCTGTTTTGTGAACAATAGAGAAAAGAAAACTTTGGTTTGAAGCTTTTTGCTTTTAATGGAATTTCACATTCACATAATTTTTTTATTTATTTTGTACGATTATAAAGAGAATGTCCGATGTAACAAAATGATAATCCGCTTTGATGTCAGAAGATTCTTTTGTTTTATATGTTTTCGATTCAAATCTGACAACTCTTGAAATGGAGAACAAAGACTTTTGTTGTAAACATAACGATAAACAGAAGAATATCCACAATCATCCCGATATCATAGCCGTTTTTAGGAATGCTCAGAGTATGAGAAAAGTATTTCTCTCTCTCTCTCCCTCTCTCTATCTCTCTCTTTTTTTTCTTTCGTTCTCCTTCTTTATGTTGGAATAATTTACATATTTTCCATTTGCTGTCGACATTTTCGATAGAAAATATGAATTTCTTGTCATTGCAGAATCAGAGTATTTCGGAATGTCATGAAAATTCTTCTTTTACTTGAAAATATCATTTGAAAAGCATAGAAATGGTTGATGGCTTATTACGGACTCTACGTATTCGCAGAAAAAATAAAAAACAACAACCATCAGATAGCTTACGAGCTGCCGTTGAGGCCAATGTTGTAACGAAAATTGTGGAAACTGAGTTAGCTGATCTGGAAGAAGATAATGTGAAAGAACAAACTTTAACTCTTAACAAAATCAACAATGAAAGTAAGTGAAGACTTGATCGTTTCATATCATAAATAACTTTATTCGGGTTTGCATTTCCCAGCAATAGAGTTTCAAAATTGCTTGTGGTCAATTACAACTCTCATATTATCCGTATGATTGGAATGAGACACCGCAGTGATCGATGTATTAAATTATTGAATGAGATATCAATGATTTTGAAAATTGAGAGAGGAGAAGGAAAGATAAATTTTATACTGCCTCAAGGTATTAAAGGCATAGATACTTCTTTCGTTTGGCCCCAACAGATTACAACCAAAGCTAACCAAGTGAGCAGAAGGAACAACTCAACAGAGAAAACAAGAAGACTTTGAGGAAGATGAAGCCTAAGTGAGAGAAATCAGACAGACGACTGGATATATCTAGATAGATATATAGATTGAAAGTCCTTCACACACTTTAGAAGACGCACAAACACTACAGACTATGATGCTTTTAGATGAGCTTCGTCTTATTCAGACATCTGTGTCTATTTCTTTTAATTTCATTCTATTGAATAATATTTTGATTAGTATTTTAACAAAATTAGATATTCAATTAGCTGTTTGAATCTGTCTGTTTCTGATCTCGGTGAGACGAGAAGAATGTGATCGTTTACTTCTCCTTCAATCCGTCTTCAATCTGTTACCTCAAATCTTTTTGTGTTTAGGAGAAAATTATAACTTCAATCATTGAAACTCTGTGTCCAAGTTCCATTAAGTTTGCTGACAGTTCCAAAAACTATGTGATTTTTTCCATTTGTTCCAATAAGTTGATGGCCATGGCCTTCTTCTGGACTTTACTATTTGGATGGCAACTGTGGCTTTTCATCATTGGCTTCGCCATATTCTACCTTAGCAATCCAAGTTTTTATCAAAACAACAATCAACGGCAACAACCGAAAGTTAAAAGGATGGAAGCTCTAGAGCATGATTGTAAGTTGCATAAGTCGAGCTTAAACCGTCTACTCGAACGGTATCCCTCTCTTATCAACAGTTCAAGTACAGTTAAATTCCGTAAGACATCAAACATCGCAGAGAGATCGAAATCACTTTCTTTCAGTGTCTCCTACTTTTCTAACATTTCTCTTTTAATTTTCCTTTTTCTCTCTAAGATATCGACGTTAACGAAATTTTATAAGAAAATTCCGTTCAAAAGGGGAGGAGATAGCATCATCGACAGGTTATGGTCGTCATTTCCTTTACTTTCCTGGTGAATGACACCTCCAACAGAGGATTCTCGTTGTCTGAGTATGAAAAGAGTCAAACACTGGAGTTTGTTTACTATTATTTTCTCGAAAACACATTGATCTGATTAATTTTCAAGATCATTTCAACTCATTTTCTCGATTTTCATCTGTTTGTCTCCATCAAATGTTTTGTTGGTATTTTTGTGAGTAGGATTGGTGAAACCTTATTGATTCTCGGAAGAACATACATGTGTTCCTTGGACTAAAAGAATATTTTTCGTTAATTACACTGGGGGACTTTCAAAAATTCTGAAAAAAAACATTTCTGCCATCTAAAGAAAACTGGAATGGACGACGTAACAACATTCTCTTCCGTGTCCTTCACACCTTTCGAAACGATACAAAAAACTATTCAAAAAGCTTCTCAATTTCATCATTGATTTATAATTTAACTTTTTTAGGTCGTAATCTGTTGAACAAGAAAGAAGCTGGACCTCCTTCAACAATCAAAGAGTCCAGCGAATCTTCACAAACAATTGATGATAATGACAGTGAGAAAGGTAATCCCACCGAATAATCTTCTTTTTTTCATTTTTTTATTTTATTGTCCCTCTCCCTTCTTCTTTTGAGTTTATTTCCAACAAAACAAAACAAAAAAGCTTTTTTTTATATGAAAAAGAATCATTTCATATTTTATTCTTCCTACGTATCCACAATGGAGCTATTTAGACAGAAAAAATACGTAAAAAGCCCTTTTTCGGATATCCTTCAGACCAAATGGAAGACCATTTCTATTTCCTCATTTGAGCAAGTGAAAAATAGATGGGAAATATCTGATTTAACTTGAAGATTATCAAAAAAATGTGTGTTTGTCTTTGTGTCTTTGTGTTGTCCACCTCCTTGAGAACATCCAAAGCCATGTCGTTCTCGTAATGCTTCGATCTGATTTAATCTTGTTCAGCTTTTTGTTCGACACTTTGCTTCTATTTGCAAAAACTTCATCAAACTTATTTTATGTTAATTGATTAATTCCCTGCTTTATATTGAGCTTGTTCCCTTTCCTAGTCCTTTCAGTCAATCATAGATTTAACCAAAGGTTTATTTCCTTCAACCATTCTCATCTCCCCTTTCATTAACTGTTTTCATTTTTTTTTGAGTTTTTCTCATTTATTACCTGAAATAAAATATTTTTTGGTTAGTGTGAGTGTGTGTGTGTCTATTGCTACTGCTGACGGTGTTCTTCGGTGTTGAGAGGAACAACTTAATTAAATTTTTTTCAAAATTGAAGCTTCCATTCAAGCTCAGCTTTAAACTTCTATGAATTTCTGTCTATTCTGTCTTTCTCTCTCTCTCTCTCTCTCTCTCTCTCTCAGCACCATTTCCGTCACTTGATGAGTAGTAGCACAAGACACAACGCACATAAGCACATTAGCTATGATCAAAAAATGTCTGAAACTCAGGATTTTCGTTATGGCTGACTGTATGCTTTGAGCTCGTTCATGTTGAAAACTACGGGGGAAGTTCATCGAATAGCATGATTGCTTTTTATTTTATGAGTGTACCAACACAGTCTATAGAGTGTCCAAGGTTTAATTATGGACGATATTCTCAGTTGTTTTCTTGTAATTCGTACTATTTCTGTTCAAACCACTTGCTTATTGTGAAACCTTGGTACTGTCAAATGTTTAATTTGAAGAAGTGAAAAATAGCAAACTCGTCCCAAACCATTCTATTCTTTCGCTATTCTAATCAGCTGCTTATATATAGGAAGTGGTCAGTTGAAGCACGAGAATACGGTGATTCGAGCAGATGGTGTTCCTAAATCTGCCGTTCCTACGGCAGCAAATTCGTCTAGTCTTACAGGTACTGATGAACAACAACCGTATCAACTTATCTTCCGACTTCGTTTAACTGGCTCATACTTTTCATTTATTATTTCAATTTTAACAAACTAACAGAAATAACTTTCTTCGATGTGCTTGGTTAAATAACTCCTGGAACGATTTGTTCTCGTGAACGAAACTCTATTTGACGTTTAGTGCATTCTTATTTTGCCTGACAGAAGCACGTTATTTCTAATGCACGAATGTTGTCGTCCGAAAATACTGATTGCAAATATGCAAATTTATGTGAAACTGAATGCTTGCTCACGTTTCCACGTAATACCTTATGATTTACGTTTGATGTCATTCTTCGATAGACTACTATACTGAACGGTTGTGTTTTTACCACATTTTCTGCCCCACTACTATGGTTCATCTTCAGATTGCGTCCCTTTGAAACCTAGTTTTAACCACATTGTTCTTTCCTTACCCAAGACATACTTGAAGCTTCATTGTTGCTGTGATTGTATGTATATATGTATATATAAATATATATATATATATATATATATATGTGTGTGTGTGTGTATGTGTGTGTGTGCGTGTGTATAGACATATATGAACTGACTGAATGTAAAACATGAAAAATTTCTCGCAAATCGTTTTGACTTTCTCATTTTCTTGAGAATTAAAACATTTTTCTTCTAAAAAAGTAAACAAAACAATTTGTGTTTTGTTCTCTCGAATTCTAAACCAAAATGGCTCATTCATGTTTTCATTTCCCGAAAGCTAAACATAGCTGAATATACATATTTTGAAAGCTTTGAAGCTCATAGACATTGACTAGATGATGTTGATGATGATGGACGTCAGTCCATATGCAGTTAGTGTCATCTTGTTCATTTCTTTTTAATCTTATAGATTGATTACTCTGATGAACACGAACATTTCATACGTATCGATTTAAACTTTTTCATCCAAAAGATACAACAGAAGATAGCTGCAGGGCTGAAAAGAGAGCAGTCTGAGGGTTTGGTTGCAGACAACTCTCTCTTCATATTGATAGAAGAGGAGGAGCTTTAAGCTTAATGTTTCCTCCTCTTTTGCTATTCTCTTTTTCGTTTCTTCAAACACCATTTTACTATCTGTTTTTCATTTACTTTCTTTTTTGAAAAATTGTCTTCTAGTCTTCTGAAATTTTTTTTCGTATTCCTCCTAATTACTGGATGAAATGAGCTTTCTCAATTTCTTTCTGTCTCTATCTCCCTCCTCACCTCTGTTTTTGTTAAAAAACAAAAAAAATTGTTGGAGCATTAATTCTCAAAATATTTTGATTCCATTCTTTTCTTTCTCACATTTTCTTTCATATAGCCTTTGTGAAAAAGAAAAGTTAAAAGTTTGTTGGAAGAAAAAGCGATTTTAGTTAAATCAGCTTCACCTTTTCTTTTGAAGGAAAGAATGGGAATCTCCTTTTCATTCTGAAAATTTTACATTTTTGTTCGTCGTTCATCATTTTTGCGGGTTGAGATTGAAGACTTTTAGAAGCTCCCTATGTTTTCATAACAAAGAGTAGTATGGATTCATATTCACAAGGTAAATCCTCCCTTTCATCAATGAAGTGAAGCATGTGTATTGACTAATATAGTTTGAAGTGATTTGATTCCCATTATAAAGCATGAAATAGAATAGAAATCGTAGCTCCTAATCTCATGTCACCACATCGAAGTTGGTAAAAGTTCACAGAGATTTAACTCAAAAAAGCTGAAACTTAATAACCATCAACCCAACTCCAAAATCGAACAGAACTACATTTGGATATTTTTCATAATTCAAATAATCTTGTTTGCAGTTCTCAAACAGGAAATCGTGCGGGTTACTCAACAGCTATTAGATGCCATTTCGTGCAAAGACTTTGACCAATACACGTAAGTTTCGTTTTTTGTTCATTTGAAGCTTTTTGGAATTCACTAAAACTTTAAGCTTTCTATTTTTCTTCAGAAAACTATGTGATCCTGGCATGACGTGCTTCGAGCCCGAAGCCCTAGGAAACCTAATTGAAGGTGTAGAATTTCATCGTTTTTACTTTGATTGTCGTAAGTCTATCTAATTATATAAATTCCATGTTTCTTCTTTGCAGCTTCAACTTCTACCAATCCACCAAAGAAAAATCAACTGCATACAACAATGCTCAACCCAAATGTTCATATTCTGGGAGAAGACGGAGCTTGCATCGCATACGTTCGTTTAACACAATATGTTGATAGGTAACTGCTTTTCTGTTGACTAGTGGAAATACATATTGAATTAAAGGAATGGTGAAGCTCGAACAAGGCAATCACAAGAAACTCGAGTTTGGCACAAAAAGAGCGGACGGTGGATTTGTGCTCATGTTCATCGCAGTGGAGCTCCATCTTCAACTTCAGCAGCTGACCCACTTTGATGAATTAGAAAAACAACTCTCTAGATATTGTTTGTTCGGTTTTTCATAATTTCTCTTTGATATACGAGCCATCTGACCATCCTCCATCTGTAAATCTTTCCATTTTCAGTTCATGATAATTGCTTTTTGCCTTCAATATAAGCTGAAGTTATTCGTTATTAAGACAATCGTTAGTGATTGATTAGCTTCAGCTTAATGTGGTTTCAAGAAAATCTTTCTCTCCAACAACAAAAAAAAACAAATTGAGATGCTTTTTTATGAACATTTTTCAAACAATCTCCAATTCTTCCTGATTCCATAAATTTCGGTTTTGTTCTCTCCTTGTTCCTTGGTGTTTCATTCAAAATTACAAACCAAAAACGATAATTTTCACAGTATTTGTAATGAATTAAAGGAATTTATAAAGCAAATGACGAAAATTTTCATTGAAATCCATGTCGATCAAACAATTTTATTGTCGAAAGTCCACGTATTTCTTAATATGATCACTTTGACTTGTGTTTCACTCTCTTCTTAGTTATGATAACCTTCAGACAAGGTTTACTTCATTATTTGTTCCAAGCATTTCATTTAAGCTTTTATAAGCATAAGTATGGCATTTTCAATTCTTGTATTTGACCTGAGATGCTTCAAATTCCTTAATTCATCACAGATTGTCTTCTCTTTGTAATAGCTTGATTGTCTTGTGAAGAAAAAACAAAATAACACAAAAAACCTATTTTATTTCAAAGCACAAAACTTTTATTTTTGTTAGATAAATTAATAGCTGAATGAATATTATATGAATGATTTCATTTTTTTTATTTCGAGTATCAAACACATGAAATATAATCTTTGGCTGAACCTCAGACTCATGTTCAAATCTGGTTTTCCCACAAAAATCCTTTCATAATTGGAGGGATTCCAATCATCAAACTATTACAAATTCCTTTTTTATACGCAAATATGTCTTTTCTACTTAAAATATCTTAAATCTTTTCATAATTTTAGGAAAGTATGTCAAAGATTGTTTTTTTCGTTCTCATTATGAGTGTCATTGTCTACACTGCTTTCTCTTCGAACGAATCTTCAACTAATAGAAGACTGTTCAAAAGAAAAGCCAAAAATAACAAAAATAATTCAAATCAAGGGAACAATGATTTGACATCTGCAGGTATCGTGAATGAAAAACCATTATTCAAAGCTTGGGCATGCTTTAACGCTACACACATCTATATCACGCGATAGGTGATTACTTCACATACACATTCATTTGATATTTCATTTTTTGCAAAGTGGTTGCGTTTTTTTTCACTTTATTATTGTTTCAGTTTTACCTAACATCTATTATTGAACATGTTTAATGAATTGCTTCAGAAACAACCCAGGCCCCACCAGGGTATGGCACGGCAGCTGCACCAGCATTCTTAGGAGCTGCTAATGATACAGCCAGAAAGGAATATATCGGTATTCAATACTTCAATGAGTGAACCTAATAGAATTACGTTAAATTGTATTAGAACTGGAAAGCAATCCAAATCTGCCCGTTAGTGTGAAAAGGGTTGCTCAAAAAGCTTGGGCAGAAAAACAAGGCGGACAGTTAAAGGTAAAGAAAAATGAATAATATCAAATAGTATGTATAAAAGGAACATTACCTAAACTTTGTCAAAGAGCAAGAACAACTAGAGCAAAACGTATGGGCACGAATGGATGGCATTGTCTTAACACTTTCTCCTCAAGCTCAACAAGCCGATAAAGAGATTCGAGGTTAGCAATATGGTTGATGTATGAGAAAAATAACATTGTCTTTCCCAGTAATAATGAGGAACACAACAATGACAAAGAAGCAAATTGACAATGCTGTGGAAAAGAAGATGAACGCTTTGCCCAAGAAAGTATACTACGAGCTTGTTTTCGCAAACCAGCAATAAACGTTTGTTGAAAATGAAGCCTTATGACTATTTTTTTCTTTTTGCCCCATTTTGTGGAAAGCTTCATGCCCCCAGTACACATGCTTCACCCTTTTTCTGTTATATCTTCCAATCTTTAAGCTTAGAAAATAAAATCCGACAGGTGTGGTGAAAAAGGCAGAAAAAAAAGAAGAAGATGAGGCAGAAACTGCGGGATATATTGTTTGCTTAAACGAAAACTGAAGAAGCAGACGACAACTGAAGAATGTTGTAAAAATCGAAGAAAGATGAATTAAATTGGGGAGAAACAGAGAAGCTCAGTGGTTGTGAGTGCCTCTGCCATCATCCAACATTACATTGTAGAATGGCAGAAGAAAGAATCTTACTCGACTAGCCTAGTAACGCGCAGTTCTATACAAGAATGAAAAGAACAGTCGTACCGTCCATTCCTGAAAGACAATGATAATGATAGAGACTACTTGTATGGTATAGATATATTCTTCATATAAACAAACTGAATGAAATATTTATAATTGAAAGAAAAAAAAAACATTTTCTCTTTAGAAAACACTTTGTTCACAATAAAATTTTATGAATGAGCAGTAAGAGTTGAAGAAAAAATGAAAATGAAGAAAAATTATGTTCTGAAGTTCTCTGTTTAGCTTAAAACTAGACGAGACTAACTAAGGTATACTTGTAGTTAATATATATGTATATAATCATATGTAATTTATATAATTTTTTGGTTTTCCATTGCTTATTCCATACATTTCATTAGTTGTCTTCTTCTGTGGACTTCCAACTAGAAGTGAAAGTTTGAATTCGTTCACGCTTGAGTCTTCTTACTTTTAAATTTAGAAGTTAGACCACATTGGCTTTCTGATCCAACGAAGACGAAGTCCAGAGTTTGTTCTGATCTTGATAGAAGCAGCCTCGGCAGCTCGAACTGTATCTTTTACGGATTGCATAAGGTTTTGAGCATTCAATACAAGCTGTTGCATAGCTTCTTCATCTTCTTCACTACCTGAAAAAGAATTATCGTTAAGATTCGTACACTACATTAATGAAAGCAGTGTTGTTGGAAACGCAATAACACGTTAGAATAACTCGTATTTTCAAACGGATTTGTTTTCATGAAGTTAGTAGGAAGGGAACAGCACGCCAAAAAAACTCTTTGTTAATACGGTTTTTGAAATAAATGTATTTTCAAATAGACACTCTCATGCATTTTATTTACCGTCAACTGGTTGTCCATATGGTCCAATCGTGGCTAAAATCATTATATTGGTTACAATATTTTCCTATTTGTTTCAAAAAAAAATGCATTTCCACTTGAATTTGGCAATTTTTTTAAAAGTTTTGTGACATTGACGATGAATTTCAAGAGATATCCGCCTACTCAATTGCTGGCGAGAAATCAAACATCTTCACAACTTCAGATGTTTGATAATCACAAATAGCATAATTTCTTACTTGATGATCCTAGCATGGTTGCCTTGACAGTTGAAAGAATCTTCAATTGAGTAGCAATAGTTGGGATTCTTTCACAAACTTGAAGAAGAGCCTACAAAGATTGTTTCATGATACGAATTCTTCCAATCTCTCTTACCATTCTCATCTTAATATCTGTGCATAATCGCGCCAATTGTACGGCCAGTCTTGTGACTTCCTCACTTGAATCAGCAATAGCCTTAGCACAATCAATGAGATCCTGAAGCATTCATGGTTCATTTCGACTTTATCTAATTCTCGATTAACCTTCTTAGTTCCTCCTTCTCCACGAACTAATTGAGAAAGTTTAGCCATAAGAATGGCCATTCTCTTAGCGGCAGCAACGATATCATTTTCTTGTGATGACCATTGTTTCAATTCCTGGAATTCCAAAAAAAATTTTTTCGTGAAAATTAGTTTAAATTGAAAAAAAAAGAATGAAAAAATAGAGAAGTAAGGATGGAATTTCTGTTGTTTGTTTGTTTGCCAAGTAACTTACGTTGTGCAGATTGTGAGCAGCAGAAAGAATTGGCTGATGAGAAGCTTGTGGAAGAGGATATCTCTCCCAGAAGGCTCTTGTCTCTTCTTCTTCATCATACTCTGGTGGTGGTGGTGGTCTTGGTGGAGGACTAATCTCGACTGGTGGAGGTGGTCGTGGTGGAGCAGGAATCTCCTCACGAATTATGACCTTATTATGAACGACTGGAGCTCGTGGAGCTTGGGCTTGTACGCTGTGTAAGACTTGAGAAGACTGAAAAAGGATATTTTGGTTTGAGCTTTGTATATACATATATAAGTATACATGTTGACTTGAAACGGTGCGCGAAGTGAGACCGAAAAGAAAGCACACAAACTAACCTCTCTTGAAGGTGGTTGATATGGAGAAGCACGACTGTCATGATAAGAAACAGATGATTGTCGGCCAGTATTAGATGGAACACCCATTATAGCATCTCCAACAGCGCGTACAGAATCAAGCAAATGATCATTAGCTCCTCGCCATTGATCACTAGCCATGTAATCACGTGGATTCATAGCAACTTGCTTAGCCTGGTTGACCATTGGTGGGATAGCTTGAAAAGAATACATGAGGAACAATCTCCTGGTTTTTGTTTATGCTTTAGAAATAGAATTTTATACGCTGAGATTGGCACAATTTGTGGCAAGCATAAGGTACACCTACGCAATCAGCCAGGTAAGCAATTTAAATGAGACAAATGCTTGGTTTGAAATGAAAGTTTGCTTTTAGATTCAATGAAAAGTTCGTTTGAATAAGAAAACACTTACTAATGTATACAATAGGATCAACAACACGACGGGTTGTGTAATAACGTTCATACACTTCATCCGTATCATACTCATCGGACTCATATGAATATTCAGGATATGGAGAGTATGAAGGCATTTTCAAGCGGAACGATCAAAAATGCTCAATGATTGAGAGAAGTTTTCTTTTAAACTTTTTTCGTTCACAACTTTCTCAATGCGTTAGCGAACGAACGTTGTCGTCGCTCTCTCACAGATGAGAGATGGAAATGTAGAGCAGAAGCAGAAGAAGTAGAAGAAGTAATTGTCTTACCGGAGTGTAGTTGCGAGGCGGCATTGTTGACACGGTCGATGAAAGCCGGTTCTTCCGAATTATCTGCTTCATTCTTGGCAGACATCAAGACACGGTTACCCAGTCGGGCAATCTAATATATTTATCAAAATATTCGAGCATTGCAACTTGGGGTTTACCTGAGATGTGTTATCAACCATTCCTTGGGGATAGGTGTTTTGAATGGCATCTTCGCATCTGGTAGTATAACGACGCATAGCCTGGAAGTTAAAATTATATTATAAGAAGTATTTGGTAATTATTACGGTTTCACTGGCTCTAACAAACTCTCCAGTATCAATGGCATCATCAACATGAGATCGTAAACGATGAAGAGCATCTCCATATTGTCTGAAAAGTTTCTGTTTAGTTATCGAGTGAAGCATCACAAAAGCTACCTATGAAGGTTTTCGAAGTGCTGTTCAACAGCATCCGAATGATTATGCAGGCGTATTTTACCAGCGTTCACTACTTGTGGTGTCATCTGATCAACTTTTTCAGCTGTGTCCAAAATGGCTTCTACAGTTCTCTTGCTCTTGCATGGTCCACATGTTGCAACCTATAAATTTTAATCAAACACGGTCTTTTGTTTTGTCACTTACTAATCTTGCTGTGGTAGTCATGCTGCCTGAGTGTTCCTTCAGACGTCCAGCCTTATCGTGGAAGTTTCCTTCACGGTTTGGCATACTCATATCGGCATGAACGGCCTCAACGAACTGCTTCAATGGAGTACTGATATCAGCAAAGTCTTCGACCTGAAAAAAGTGTTTTGAGATGCAGCAAAAACTGAAAAAAGAGAGCAATAAAGGTTTAATACTCACTACGCGATCAGTAAGAATCTTTCTCATGAATTCAGCTAATTGACGAAGTTTGTCCTTAAGCTGTTGTCTGATGGCATTGGCTTCTGGTGAGTTTCCAAGACCACGACGTTCTAAATCGGCTAGTTGATTGGCTAAGCGATCGATGTCGGAGCATAGGTTCAGTAAACGGTTTCTAAAAGCAAGAAAGAAATTCAAGTTAGGAAGCAAGAAATATACCTGTCTTGTGGATTCAAACGATCTGCCAGCTTCTTAGCATCTTCGGTCATCATACGTAATGCTTGAAGACCAAGACCTCCGTCATTTACTCCTGGGTTGTCTAACCATCTGAGCGCTTGTTCCAGACGACCAGCAGCAGTGTGAGCTGGATTAGCACCTCCATTCTTTTGAGCATTAAGGAGAGCATCTGGTAACATTCCACTACTGTGCTTAGTACCAACAAGAGCCTTCAGCTTCTCAGCACAACTGTGAGCGATACCCTCGTTGTCATAACTAAATTTCTGATTAGATTCATTCATTCGTGTTTTACATACCGTCCCTGCTCACGTAGTTGACAAATTGTGTCAGTTAAGCTAGCAATTTCTTGAATGGATCGCCTGATCGTGTAACTATCTTCAGGAAGAGCGCGAGCGGCAATCTTATCAGCATAATCCAATATTCTTCGGATAGCCTTCTCTCCTACAGCTCCTGTAGAAATATTTATGATACTTATTATTCAAGCTTTTAATCCACCTCTTAATCCACGTGGGTCACCTAACCAGTCAAGAGCAGCTGTGAGCAAAGATTTAGCAGCTGAAAGAGCTTTACGCATGACAGTGACATTATCAGCATCCCATTCATCTTCATCATAAGTTGTCAATTGTAAAACACGGATGATTTCGTTCATTTCGTCAGTCATTCGCTGTCCAAGATAATTTCTTAAAAAAACAATAATAAGCCACATGGCGCTTGAATATTCAACCTGTTTTCAGCAGCTTCGGCAACACCTCGCTGACTTGGTTCATTACTGATTTGAATGAAGATCTTCATGGCACAAATGAGAATTGGCGAAAGAGTTTTGATGGCATCCAAGCATCTGATAAGGATTTCTCTATGAACTTGATGAGTCAATTCTTGTTGTCTTGCATTGACATCTTGAGTGACTCTAGCAAGCCAAGGTGAAATGTCCTGAAAGAATATTACTAAAAAATCTTTTCAAACAAGAAAATTTAATTTTTCTTTCTATTCTTCTTATAATTCATAAAGTATTGTACAATTGTGTATTGAGGTCTAATAATTTGATATAAGGATACCTTGACAAATTGAGCGAGATCTTCCATGCTCTCAATCACTTCGGCGACAGCCAAGTAGTCCAAGACCTTACGACATCCTCGAATGATTTTACGGACTTCTGATTCGTCAAAACACAAGAGAAGAGCAGAAGTTCCTTGTAAAATTCCACGAGCTCCATCGATTAACTTCTTACGTGCTGGAACGGAATATGCATCTCCCTATAATTAAAAAAATCAGTTGAGGAATAAACAGTTAGCGTACCTTCAGCAAGTGGCAGGATTCCTCTAAGAGTTTTGAACTATGTTCCACTCTTTGAAGTGCAGGAGGCATATCATTTTGAAGAAGGCGGTCGTCGGAGTTGTTACATGTGTCATAACCAACCTGGAAAAAATCCAAGATGAAATACAACATATAAGTTGCACTGTATGTAATTTTGAATTTGAAGCAGTAAATATTTTGAATATAAACTCTAAAAAAATATCTCTCTATCATGAAATATTGTATGAGGGGAAGGAAGATTTTAAACTATTTTACCCTTCCGTCAGAACGACTTCGACGTTGATGAATAGAATGCTGGAAGTAAGATGGATGACGAGGGTATCTAACAGATCTCAGCTCTTCCTGACGATAGCTACTAGATCTATGACGATAGGTTTGCCGTCTTAAAGTGGAGCTTTTCTCCGACAGCATTCAGCTGACACACTTCGTGCTTGTCGTTATGTCGTCGTCTTTTTAGTTGAATGTGAGACAAGTTCAGTTGGCCTTTTACTCTAGGCTTGTCTACGCTCGTCGTATGTCAGTACGACTGTTAGAACTTCGCCGTTATCTGTCGTTTTCATAGTCTACAAGGCTCGAGCATTTCAATCAAAGCTTGCACCTTTCTCTACAGCTTCACCATACTGTCTTCATTTGTCGTCGTCGTCTTTTCTGCGTTGCGATGGCGTTTCCTTTTCTTTTTTTTCTCTTTCGTTGAAGTTATGCCTCAGCAATTTTGCTCAACCTCTTTGCATCTTTTGTCTGTATGCATTCGGGATCAGAGCCTTGCATTTACATCAGAATGTCAATAACAACCGAAGGAGCAGAGACACTGTTGGAGGTCTTCTGAAGTTTCAGAATTTTCACTCACGGGGTTTCAAGATGACGAAAAAATTCACAATTTTTTTTCGGTCAAAAAAGTTCTTTGAGGACTACTCTTAGAATCAAAAAGTCATTAAAAAACTATACAAATGTTAAATGAAGAATTGAAAGAAAGTTTCGAATAGAAACATCTGGCACACGCCTTGTCTCGCATTTCATAAAATTCAGAAGAAAAACTTTTCTTCGAAAAACAAGAAACATATGGCATACGTATGGGAGTTAGCTAACTATATGCTAAGTTTCTATTTCCTATAGTAATTCTAATTTCCTCATTACTCAAGCCACAACTGATAAGAGCCTGTTTTGATAGGCTCAATTATAGATATTTATCTTTCATTTCATTACTGAAGCTTATCAAAATTTACGTACTCTGATAAGATTGTCGACAGCCTGAGATACAAGGCCTACAGGCCGAGTAAGATCTGGCATAGCATTACCATCTTCAGCTTCTTCATGAAGGATGACTAAACGGGAAACCTGAAATAATGAATTATAATGTTTACATAAGGAACTTAAATATAAATTGGATGATAAACAAACAAATGAATAGAGAGAGAAAATGGAACATGTAAAGACAGAGCCATAATTAACAACATAAGTACTACAATGCACTTACCTTCTGATGGTCATTATGCAAAAGCTAAAACCAAAAAAAAATAAAAGCAGACGAAGGACATGAACAAACATATGTAAGCAGCGCAAGTGAGATCAAACATTTGCAACTATTGGGCAAAAAACATAAAGAACATACACAGCCATTAGCTTTTGGCATCATCAATTGACACACTGGACAATCCTCAGCAGTAACTCTTTGCTGTATAGTATCAGGATAGATGAACTCAGGAATGGAACGACGACTACTAGCTCGAGATAATCCACCGTTACGAGTAAGCGATGCATATGGGCTTCCTCGTGAAGTTGGAGGTACTATCCCAGCATTACGATCAGCTAGAGCCAACACATAATGAAGCTATAAGTATACATAACACATTGGACATTGCACAATAGACAGACAGGGAGACAAAGGACACATGCTTCATTCTGGATTAAGTTATAGGAAACACTTCAAACTTTTTTTGAAGGTTGTATTACCTTCTCATTCAATTAGAACTATATTCATCGACCGAACTAACCCTGTAGCTCAGTTCATGAGATCAAAATCAAAAATTTCCAAAAAATCACCTGCACTCGAAGATAAAAGCGGATCGACTCAATAGTTTTGAGATTAAATCGAGTACGCTCATAGGGAAAAGAAGTCGATGTTGTAAGGAACATGTAATTGCCACAATAGGTGAATGAGACCATAAGGCAATAGACCCGAAAGAGAGTGAGTGAGAAATAGAGAGGAGCTAGAAAGATAGGATAAGGGAGTTGGAGTGAGAGGAAAATGAAATTACTGTCAGAAAAGAAATTATTTAGATATGACGACTTCATCATCACCTTTTCTATTTATGACAGGAAGGTCAAATTGATCGGAAATTAACTTTTAAATTATTCACAACTGTCTAGAGCTTCTTCCAAAACACTCTTCTTTGCAAGATTCTTGATTCATTTTTTGAAATTTCTTTCTGGTGTAACTAAACTAATACTGTTTCATGTTCGCTTCACATAAATCAACAGTTTAATTCATAAAAAGATCAAAAACGAATATTAATAGATGTTTTATGACCTTCCCCTGCTGAAAGGTGTATGTCAGATCCTATTTTCCCATGAGTATCAAATATGAAACTGGCCACCTTCATCATCTACTCCACCCTATCCGGATGAAAGAAGACAAGCCGAGACAGGATCAATTCAGTTTTTTCATAGAAGTTTTTTTTCCGTTTCACAGCTGTCTCCGTTTGAATTTTTATTTATAGACTCGAGAGATGGTTCGTAAGCCTTTTTTCAAGTAATTGCGAAAAAAAATATGTGAAGCGAGAAAGATGCAGCCGAGAAGTATGGCTGATTGATAGAAGAGGTTTTACTCTCCATATTCTGAATTTGAATGAAACAGTTTCTGTTCGTTAAAATCTGATTTCTCCTTACATTTTTCTTTCCAAACTTACAAGAAAAATCTTCATGATTACATACAGTCAGATTAAACATTAAAAATGATTCGGATCAATTGACAAAGTGAATATTTGGAATGATCAATTATTTGATTTAGTAGGTCAGAAATGAAAGAAGCAGTTGTTGCTCATCTGTTATTGAAGCTTCTTCTATTCATTAAATCCTTGCTTATCGAAACACCCGTATCTTTCCATTCTTACGCCTAATTATTCACTAGCATATTAGCACTTCATTCACGTTTTCTGTTAAATCAGCGTCATGCCCAAGATAATGGACAAACAGAACATGCAGAACAGTTGTATGCAGGTAAAACACATAAAAAACAATCTAATAGGATAGTTATGTAATCTCAAATAATTTGGGAAACGTTTCTTCTCAACTATTTTTCAATGTTCATTTAGGTTATTGAGTGAGAATAAATAAATGACGGAGAATTCGGTGAAGGTTAGTGACGCCGAAAAAAAAGTTGAAGAATGCACTAAGCTTGACTGATTCAAGTGCTAGTATAATATTATGCGAATAGTTAACAAATAAAATTATTAAACAGCATGCATGACAAGTTAAAAGAAGAAAAATGAAAGAAATAAGAGAGGCTGAAACGAAATATTCACCAACCTGTTGAGCTACCGGCTCGAGAATGCTCTCGATAGTTTTGGTATGGAATACTGGCATCGCAATTTGATTCTATCCCGGTACTCAACTACTTCATTACTAAAACAGAAATTATGTATAAAAAAAGGATTAGAACAACGAAAATGAAGAAGAAGTGTGGAAAAAAGATTGATTGCTTGAAGAGCTGCAAGAAAAGCATTTCTGATAAGAAAATGTGAATAAACGATTCATGAACACTTCAAAAAACGACATTGAAATGGAAAAAGAATTAAAATAAAACAAAAATTTGAAATTTTTTCTTGTTGAGCGATTGATATGAGACATAAGGAAATATTGAAGAAGATGAGATGGAAAATGACGAAGAGAATTTCAAGAAAACTGAAAACAAATAATTTGCGAAGACCAAAAGGAAAATATGTGAGCGGTAAGAAGATAGATTGACTAATATGGTTATACATAACCATATACATATAAAAGAATTTTATTATTTGAATATTTAATGGCTCATAAATGCTAAAAAGAGGCAGACAGGGTCTGTAGAAATAGGGACAACCAACTGGTAATTACGTGAAGGTCGAAATAATATTAAATCAATATTTATATAATTAATCATGTCGCTTTTTTGAGGTATGCAATTGGAAGATAACTGTACAGATGGTTAAAGTGATCTTATGTCAAAGAGAAGTTGATGCTCCACAGAGAATAAAAACAGAAGTTCTTCCTATGGACGGTTGTTGTTAAGTTAAAGAGATACTATAATAAACAGGAGAACGATGGAAATGTTAAAGAAAAAAACGAGCAACATTGGCAATGGTTCAGAGATATAACGATCATTCAAAAGATAGTGAGAAAGTGATAGAGAAAACGGATAGAATCGAGGAATCCAAGAGAAAGAATAAGAGAGAGAGAGAGAGAGAGAGAGAGATAAAGAGAGAACTACGAGGGCAGGCTGCTTTCGTGCCTTAGCTCTCGTCCATTTTCCTGAACAACCACCCAGTGTAAAGAGGGATAGAAAGATGAAGAAACACTGGAATCACAGCCATTCAAGAGATCCGACGCTCTGTGCTATCCCCCGCAGATCCTCTCATATCTCTCACTGTCTTTCTCATCACCCACCCCTTTTTCTGAGATACGAATTTCTCTTCTTTTTCTCTCTTTATATATCTGTATTCCTCTCTCAATTTTCTCTTTATCTGAGTTGCTCTTGCTGGAGGGCTCTTGTGTGTACTCCCTCGGGGACGAGGATAATTTTGGTAAACGATATTGATCAGAAGCAGACGTAATAAAAATGATCAACCGGATAATCAAAACATAATTGAAGAAAGATCAGGTGAAACTATTCAATGTGTTGGAAGAGAGAAACTATAAGAGCCGAAGAGCATTCAAACAAGTATACTGAGTGAGAAAGTAAAAAAAAAGAATTTATAAAAGAATATAAAACAAGATAAACGTTAAATAGCAAATATATGTGTGGATGGTTGAACTTTGTTGGGTGTTCTAGCTTTCTATACATGAGGCATTATGAGGTAAAGAATAGAGAAATAGCCATAGTAATGTAAACATTACTCTCAATGACAAGTCTGAATTGTGTTTTGGGTGAGAGGAAGGAAGGACAAAACAAGAAGCAGTAGTGACCCATGAATGTGTAGAAAATGCAAAAACTGAATGAACAAAACCATGTAAATCAGAAAAAAAAGGCATGAACCGCTAAAAAGGAAGTGAAGAAAGCGAAAATTGGAGAGAAGACGGAAATTAAAAAAGTAGCTCGTCTAAACGACTAGAAAATAGTTCAGATTATGATTCAGCAGGAATTCAGGAAAATCGGAAAGAAATGTGAGGGGGAGGACATGATTTGGGTGGGTGGCGGTGTCTAGGCCTGAAGAGAAGCTGTTCTGCTGGCTGGAAGTTAGGTGGTCAGCTCATGGCATACTTAGGTGGGTGGATTATCTGAAGCTCAGCAAGAAGCAAAAGATGAAGACGACAAGATGGAAGAACAGATCAAGAACAAGAAAAGATAGGAAGAATCAGTGGAAGCGAAAGAAGTCATAGTGAGATTTGAAGCAAAATTGAAGAAAGTTGAGAGAATAACGAGATGCACACATATTGCAGAGCACGAAATAAAGGGTGAACAGCAGAAAGACAAAAAGAAAATAAAGAAAAAGAGAGAGCTAAGTAGGAAGGGAGATGCCATTATATTGGCCTGAGGTAGCAAAGCGAATAGCCAGAAAATAGTGTAAAATGGCAGTCTTTCTCCAGTTGAAGAGGTAGGAGAAGCGCAACAGATGAACTGAAGATGATAGATGAAAGGAAAGTTAAGAGGGAAAGGGAGAGAAAGGCAGAGAGTCTAAGAGATAAAGGGATATAAATCCGCCATAAAGAGTGATGAAAATTTTTTTTGTTGTTAAAAAATAAAAATAAAATTTCAAGAACTAAACCGAAATCAATCAATTTCTGTCAAAAAATTTTTTCTTCACAAAAAATGGAAAAAAAATAAAACAGATTTCAGAAGATGGGCTCATTGAGTTTGAAGAGCGACACGACAATGTCCTCCGTTAGTGCCTGTGGTGAACTAGCCTGGAGCGCAACAGCCGCTAACGGCATCTCCTTGGCTTTGGAGATTCGGGACCCAGACGCTCTAAACTAGCAGACTTTCTCTAAGCAGTTCAGTTTGCCTAAAGGCCATTCTACGTCTCTTCGTACTATGTTTTCTTCTCTAATTCTGACCAAAATTTGAATGTTTTGAAATGTAAACGAATAGTTTCTAGTTAAGCATCAGTAGTTTTCAATGATGAAAGCTTACAATAGATAAGAAGTCAAAAAATGGAGAAAAGAAAGAATAATAGGAAATGAGGAAAACGACTGAGAAGGTGGAAGAAGGTGTAATGAAACAAATGCAACAAAATAAGGAAAGTGCAGAAATGGTAAATACAGAAAAACATTCATAAGTAATAAGCAGTGGAAGCTCTTCTTGAAATGGGAAGAAACTTATCGAAAATGTACAAAAGGTATTGTATATAGATGGTGGCTGTACGATGTCTAAGATAGAGAGAATAGAAAATGGAGGGGAATAGCGAGTGGGTGGCTAGACGAAAAATGAGACAGACAAGAGACAAACATTTGATTTAAAAGAGGGTAAAATATGAAGAGAATACAAAAAGGAGAGATAAAAAGAGAGTTAGATAGACATTAACGGAAAGATTAGAAAGACAATAACTAACGACAGAGAAATGACGAAATATGCACTGACAATAACTATACATGAGAGAAATAAGAGAAAGAAAGCGAGGGAGAGAGAGAGATAGATAGAGAGAGAGAGGAAAAAGACTAGTGTACAAAGCCTCTAAAGGTCAGCTGGTAGTTGTTAGTAGCCAATGACTTTAAATTATAACAAAATAATCTTTTTATTTGAAAACAACAAAAACATAGAGAATTGGAGTTTGTTCGATTAAGAAGGTATTATTGTAGGATGGAATTGAAGAAAAAATCAATACAATCCGGTACGATGTAGATGACTTTAAATGGTCATTTGTATAACATTCAACGCACATCTTCTTACATGTGTAGATTTGAGACTAAAAAGAGAGAGCGAAAAGCGGAAAGAAAGTTTCGGCTGTAAAGACAAACAATCATCGTTTGTCTCAAGCTCATTCTATTTTGGAAATATATTATGTGTGTTGAGAGCGGAAAAAAAAAGAAAATTTTTTGAAGAAAGTAAGTTTTCAGATATTTTTTTTTATGGTAAAATGACAAAATGTCACCCAAATGTCATGAACATGTATAATAGGGTCGTTTCTTAATCTTTCTCATCTTTGTTTTTCGTCTAATCTTTCTGTCTTTCCCTCATTCTCTTCTTCTTGTGCTCTACCTTTTCGTTTTCCATATTCATTCTGCATCATTAATCATATATTGCATTTTCCAGAAGTTAACAACTGGAGCATTTCAGGAAACACTCATATGATAGAGTGATCGCCATTTCACAAAACATCACAAAATGATCTCAAGAAGCTATATAAGTCAGTTTTATATATTTTTACTTATAAAATCGTCATAGTCTTTACAAACTTTTTCGTTTTCTTCCAGTTTTTTTAAATTTCGTGCAATTTTTTGGTTAGTGATTGGGGAGATCGGAAGTGAAAGAAAGTTATTTTGAAAAACATACTTTTAACTCGAAAACAAAGTTTTCTCCTCCATGTTATACGTCAATTCGACACACCGTTTCGATTTTTCTTTGATAAGTTTTTTTGTTAAGCTTAGATCTTCCAAAATTTGAATTCTACTTGAACTATGGAAATGATTTATTAACAGAAGTTGAGATTTAATTGTCTGATCATCACATGCTTGAGGATTCTTTAAAACAGAATGCTCTTTCAGACAATCTTATCTTCCGCCACTTTCAGTTGTTACAATCACTCAAATCAAATTTTCAAGTTGTTTTTTCTTGTTTTCTCTCAAACGGAACACATAGTCACTCATTTCCCTATGAGTTATTTGACTTGTTTCATCCTAGACTTCGTCTTCTTAAATTTCTAGTCGCCTTCATCTCTCTCTCTCTCAGATCATTTTGTATTTTCAGCTCCAACCAGACTTTCTCAATTCTCCGAAATTCATTTGGTCTTTTCCCTTTTCTTTTACATTTAATTCTAATACATTCTTATGTTCTCTGAGAGTTCATTTCATCACTTCATTTCTCTCTGTAAAACTTGATACTCTCACTCTTTTCTTTTATCTTTTCATCAACATTAGTTCTCTCTTGGTCTCTCATATCTCATCAGACCAATGGTGCACCTAATTGAAATTTTAACTTCTCTTTCGTTAAATTCAAACGATTTGTTCGAGTCATCTAAAGCTTATCATTGAACTTTTAACATTCTGCGTTTGTTTCATCAAACTCTTTTCCAGATTTCTTCCTTTTCTGCTTTTGTTTACAAGAATTGAAGACAAAGGTGATATGATTGAAGATTCACCATTATCTTGGTTGGATTATGCTATATTTGCGAGTTCTCTCTTACTAAGTATTGGCACAGGAGTTTATCATGCTATTAAGTTACAAATAATGCTATAACTGTTATTTCAAGTTATTATTTTTCTAGAAGTCAAATTTTGTTATCAAGTGGAGCAGTGAAAACCTCCGAGAAAGATGAATATTTGATGGGGGGGAGAAAGATGCCTTCCTTGCCTGTTGCTCTATCTTTACTTACGACATTTCTATCAGGAATTCTTATGTTAGGAGTACCAGCTGAGATGTTCCAACGAGGTATGCGAATGTAAATGTTTTCAACATAATGTTTATAATGAGTTTAGGGTCGCAGATTTGGTTAAATTTCGTGATAGGAGTAGCTTCATCTATCTGCACGTGTTTGATATTTTTACCTGTTTTTCATAAAATGAAGTGTACCTGTTTACATGAATACTTTATCCACAGGTTAGTTAAGTTATGCTTACTTCAACTATTTGATTTTAGATATAATTCCATTTTAATTCGCCAGTTGTTTTCAATGCTTTTCCTAGCGTTCACTATAGTCTACATGTCCGTTGTTATCTACGCACCTTCCGTAGCCTTATCCCCAGTTTTAAAAATTGATAAAACTTATTTAATTTTGGTAACACTTGCCGAAAGTAGCTAGCAATATTCATGTATGTTGCAGATATTTGGATTGTGCACAACGCTTTACACTTGTATAGGAGGATTGAAAGCCGTGGTATGGACAGATTCTCTACAGGTTATTGATATAAGATTGGAAAACCTTCTAAAATAGTTAACCAGGCTGTTCTGATGTATGGTGGAGTGTTTGCTATCATCTATAAAGGTTTATCTCATCCACGAGTTGGAGGGTTCAGTAGAGTTTGGGAAATCGCCAAAGTTAGTGGAAGACTCGATGAATTGAACCGCTTTGATTGGCGAATCGATCAGGTATCATTTATATAGAGAAAAAGTAATAGCAAATGTAACCTTCAGTACAATAGTACGTGGATCAATTTATTCGCTGGTACAATAACGTGGTTGGCTTCCTTCGGAGTGAATCAACTAGCAATTCAACGTTATTCTAGTCTTCCGTCCTTAAAGAACGCACAGGTTAGTTATTGAAGTCAATGATTATGTTCAAATGATGATTGCTGTTTTCAGAATATAATTTATTACACTTTAATACCATTTGTTGTACTTGTTTCTACGGTCACGTTCATAGGACTGATTGTCCTGGCTTACTTCTATGATTGTAACCCTCTGGAGACGCAGCAAATTCGAGAAACTGATCATATCACCATTCTATTTGCCAAAAACGTTTTGCGTAAGAAAGGCTATCTCTGACCGTCATGTCTTTTTGTTCAGAGCCAACTCCTGGATTGTTCGGTTTATACGTATCTAGCATAATGTCTGCCACGTTATCAACTTTGAGTAGTGGTATGAACAGTATGGCTGCTGCTGTTTATGAAGATTTTTTGAAACATAAATTTGATGGCAAAATTACGGATCGACAAGCAACTCGTCTCAACAAAGTGAGTTTTGGATTTTGTATTAAATATTGATTCTTTGGCAATATTCTCTTTGATTTTTCGGGAGGAAGTCTAGTCTAGGAGCTAAAACGATCAGCTGTCGCTTGAAAAAACCGAACTATCTTAAACTTCTCAAGCAAATTGCTAAGAGCAGTTATCAGATGATAATCGAAATATCACAGTGGTTGGGTCCAAAACTATGAAAGTGAATAATGGAACAGCTGGGATTATATGTTAAGTCTGAAACATCTAAGTGCAAAAAATGAAAAAGAAGGAGCTCGGATGAGTGAACGTATGAGAGATATAGAATAAGTTTCCAACAGAGAACAAAGTGGTGATATTAGTCTTCAAGAATAGATCTAAGTTAGGAAACTATCGAAAGCTAAACGCAGGGGGGAACATTAGTGCGTAACAAGTGAACGCCTGGTGTTTGAAAGCAGAACAAGATAGAAATGAATCAATGCATGAAAACTACGGACAGGTAGAAGACACTTTGAAATATCATAAGTTTAAAAGAAGAGAACTAACCGCCTAGAGCTTTGTACAAAAGTTGAACATCAATATTTCAGGCAATCGTGATATTTGGAGGTCTGTTATCGACTGGATTGGCGTTCTCAGCAGAATCTTTGGGAGGAATACTCAGAGTATATAATTTGGAAATAAGAATTTAAAAAGAGTTTTAGGTTTGTATAAGTGTTATGGGCGCTATGTCTGGCCCAATGGTGGCTATTTTTGTTTTGGCCATGTTCGTTCCACGCTCTGGGTTCTGGAGCTGTTTCATATCCTTTGTTGTATCAAACACAATAATGTTCATAATCTGCTTAGCGAATTATATTCAAGATCCATATAGTCAGTATTTCCTGCCAACAAATTCAACGTCTGTTAACTCTCACTTTACTCGTTCACAAATCTTTTAAAGAATAAGCGGTTGTGGGGCTGCAAATTTCACAATACGTCAGGAACCAACGTTTGATGGGCACTACGGTGATCCATCTTCATGGTTTATATCAAGGTATTGAAAGAGTTGTTTGAACACGTCGAGATTCGTACCATTACTTCAGAATTTCAACTTATGGTTATTCCGGTGTAGGATTTGTCATCATGATGGTAATAGGAGTCTCTATTAGCTTTTTTGAGAAAAAAACTGACACATCAAAAATTTATCATCTAACATATTATGGCAGAAAGTAAGAAAATATTAAAAATATTATCTTATTGCTATGTTTTAGTGAGCCATGGCCAGAGAAGCAACATGAGTTTGATCATTTCCTTCTGGAAGATAAAGCGAATTGATCTCTCTCTATAAATCGATACATCTCTCTACGAAATCTCTCTATAAATAATAGAGTTGCTGTGGCGCATTGTGAGAACAGTTTTTGTGAAGCTTTCTTCATTTTATAAAATAATAAAATATGCAATACATTATTCAAGATCGTTCTGGTTATGTCATATCTCCAAATTTAAAAAAAGGATATTATGTATATATCACTTTAATAAATTCACATGAAATATACTCGTTAACATTTGTATTCGTGGGAGTTTGGTGCATGAAAAATGTGTGTTCCTTTATTTGATAGCTGAGATACTGTTGAGCCAATCATAACTGTTATTCTATATATTTTAATTTCTTGGTTTCAGTGAAGGGTGTTATGCCTTCGAAACTGTTATTGTGCTTGTATCTTCTTGTTTTGGTGGATATTATCAGCTCTTATTGCTTGTATACAAATCTCGACGTAAACTCTATTCCTATCCCAACTGGGCAAAGGGAGAAGACCGGATGTAAACGAAATGTAGGAGCAGAAGTAGGATGTGTTCAGCAATTCCGTTGTCAACAAGGCATAACTGTAACTCATTCATTTCTGAACATTTCTATTTTAAGGTTCAACTGCAAACTCTTTTGGCTATTATGTTGAAGGTGATAAAACTGGCAACGGCGTTCAAATAGAATGTGTTAGATACAGATGGGTTCTCTCTAGTGACAAAGCAACTGTTAGTGAAGGTTCATACAAAAAAATTAATTCTTTCATTTTAGGCACCACGATGCATAAAAGGCTGCCCTGTTTTGACCGCTAAAGAAATGGAAAATTCTACTTTTGTTGGAAAACTGCCATCAGAAACTTACCGAAACGGTGCTCAAGAGTTCTGGCCAGTTCAGACAGTTGTTCAAACTGCATGCAGAGAAGGTGAAGAATATTAATAATTCATTAAGAATTGAATCACTAAAAACAAGAACAACAAATGATTATTTCAGGATACATATTCAAAAATATCGGTCATGAGACTAATAAACATGATGAGCATCGTTGTACTGCAAATCAGGGATGGCTCGATATGATTAACCAAAAATCTTTTGGATGGCCCGCTGTCTGCAGAGCTATTTGCGATCCTTTTGATATAAGGTAGAGAAAATCAAATAAGGATATAATATTCTATTCAATTCAACAGAGATGTTCCTAATAATGTTATAATGGTAATCAATGCAACGGATATGCAGAACAACGTGAGAGACTACGACGGAAGAAAAGTTTTAGTGGCTGGTTCGACCTACAAGTTCCAATGCGCTACAGGTAACAACTAGCTGTTTATATCTGTCTACTAATTATCTGATCAGGATTCAACTACGAGTTCCCCCATAATCGAATAGGCTATCAAGTTCTGATATGCGCAGGTGGAAAAGAGTTTTGGTATGATTCAGAAACAGGAGAAAATTCTGCTCATCCTAAGTCTGTAAGTACTTTTCAATACATTTTGATAATCTTGTTTACGTCGATTACATAGTGCGTCGCAAGTGGTTGTCCTGCGTTAACAAGTAGGAACACTGTAAGCAACTCGTTCTTCAACTATGAAAACAACTGCGTGCCCAATAGTGGGGTAGTAAACGATGGATGTAGTGCCACAGTCCAATGCAATTCTAAAGGTTTTCTAATACTAAAAAAAAGTTAATACAATAACTAAAGCTTCAACTGGGATCAGTGTGGGTTATTATATGGCGAATAATCCGAATGGTTATGCTATGCGTTGTCGTTCTGGGAAATGGATGAGACTTGATGGAACCGAAGCAAAATTAGATGAAAACGGAAGGTTCGGAGAGTTTTGTTCGATGGGCTGTAACGGTCTTACCGAACATGAGTTACAATCTTCTGCAATTATTCAAGAGACTGGACAGCTAGTTTATTTTAGCTAACTTATGAGACTTAATTTTGTTTATTCTAGTATAAAAATGAGCAAGCCTCATTTTATTCGCTCGGAAGCTTATTAGTGACCTCTTGTAATGATGGTTTGTCTTCTGTGTAAAAAAATATGCTCAGAAGTTTACAGGTTTTATTCGTCCCAACATTATCAATCAAAATAGCAATCAACTAACTTTTTTATGTGAGACCTCTGGCTGGCTCAACATAGGTTTGTATGAATAATTAAATGTTCAGTTTGGGTCGGTTGTTATGTTTTAGATAAAACGATGAATAGTAATGGTAACAGCCATCCTGCTTCATGTGTAAGGGGTTGCGAACTACTCATACCATCTCCTACCGGAACTAAAATGGATGTAGACTCGCTAGTTATAAGAAAGAATTCTGTTAGTTATGTCATTCAAAATTCTTCCTTGATTATTACCTGCGATCAAAGTTTGTTCCCCTTTGTAAAGATCTATGTATTTTTTCTGTAGATTTCCAACCTCCGGATCATATATCATCTTCTAACAGTATGCAACGCCTCAGATGTATGGGAGGCTCACAAGGTTGGAAAAACGAGGACAACGGGCAACTGAATGTATGAGTTCTTTCGGAACTGTTAGTAAAAAAAATTACAGTCTGTTCCGATGATCTGTATCAGGACTGGTGTTTTGGGATGTATTTCAGTCAATGCAAACACTTATCCTAATGTAGAAGTTCGGAATAGTTCTAACTGCAAGTTAAAAGATGGTTTATACGAGGAAGGTTGTGAGTTGAGTCTCCGTTGCGCAGCAGGTATACGTATAAGAATACTTGATCCTATTTTTCGTTTTTTTCTAAGGTTTCGCTCCTTCTTCTATAGATAATAGCATAGATACATTCGGTATTCAAGAACTTGTGTGTAAAGCAGGAATTGATGGATACACGTCGAAATCCGTAAGATCAACTGTAGACTATCTATGCAAAAGTTGAATTAACAGCAGGGAAACATGCGAAATGTTCAGCCTATTAACTGCCTCCCCAGTTGTGAAGTTGTTCACGAAATGATTACAGCTACATATACAAAACCTCCTGTTAACATTCTGAGATATGGAGGAATAGATTATTTGAGGAGTGGGGAAGAAGTCGCCATAAAATGTAAAACTCCAGGTGGGTAGAAATAAGAAATGAAAATATTCTTTTTATTCAAATTCTGCAGACTTCGATGTGAACAATCATGCCGATCTTGTTTCCCGTGAGAACATAGTTTATAAATGTTTTGTGAGCTCGCAATCAACCGCTTGTACAATATTATTTGATTCTTCAGGGAGGGGCAGATAAGTATTTGAAAATATCGTCTTACCGATATAATACTACCCCTGGAGATGCTTGTAGTGGTGTTTGTAGAGAGCTGGAAGGATCACAAACCATTGGGGTGCATCGAAAAAAAAAACTAAAAATTATTCAAAATTTAGACTTTACTCACTAGAATTCATACAACGGATTCTATTGTGAACATTAGAGAAGGTATTCGGTATGCTGTCAACGCTCAGTACCATGTACAGTGCTCACATGGATATCAATTTCTAAATGGTAAGCACCGATATTTGATAATATAATACCAGAATCTGTTCTATTGCTAGACACACTTGCCTCTACTCGCGGGTATCAACGTTTGTATTGTTCCAGTTTATCTGATGGATATTTGGATATGGAAACGAATGAGCTGAACGCTGAAGTGAGAAAACTAGCCCACAGACGTTACAACCGTGCAAAATCAAACTTTCCAGATAGCTAAATGCGTACCAACTACTCAGCCGAGCTGCATAGAATTGGATGAACAAAAATTGAATGTTGTGATTCAGAAAACACTTAATTGCACTGAAACCACTAAGAATATGGTTGGCTGCAGTTTGAACCTGAGATGCAAAAATGGTTTATCGGAAAACAGAATACTTTTTCTCACAAAATAGCTCAGGAACCTATTCTACTAACACAAACTCGAACTCACAACAGATACAATGCGTAACAGATCCGCATGGACTACCATATTGGACATCCCTAGACAGAAAGGTAAACACACCTGCTTAACTTTTTTGAAACAAAGACTGAACAGGGCGAATCAACTCTAATTTGCGCAAACGGCTGTTCTGAGTTCACGATAACCGACGACTTCACAATACTACCAAACTCTAACCATACGATTGGGGAAGCTAAACATTACAAAGAAGGCAGTACTGTAGTCATAAAATGCTCAGAAGGTTTGTTCAGTGTAACTGAAAATGAAAATACCCCAAGTGAACTAGACAATCCTCTACCATCCCTGATGCTTTTAGAACCATAAACCAGTCTTTCAATTCAAATATCCAAAAAGTTCCGACTCCAGTGCGAGTTCACAGCTTTCGAAACTTCATTTTTTTGAGGTTCCTCATGAGTCTGCCCCATGTAAAAGGCTTCCCATCCCGGGAATCGAACCCGGGCCGCGTGGGTGAAAACCACGAATCCTAACCACTAGACCACATGGGACACCCTCCAATCATCAGTTATGAGCCCCATCATCGTTGATACCTTCAAACTGCTACGGAAATGGTCGAAAAGCACTCAGGGAGGCCACAGACAAAGCAGTTCATGTTTCTGGTGTGTCTTATGGATCTGCCCCATGTAAAAGGCTTCCCATGCCGGGAATCGAACCCGTGCCGCGTGGGTGAAAACCACGAATCCTAACCACTAGACCACATGGGACACACTCCCATCATCAGTATTGAGCCCCATCCACACAATTTCGTTCTTACTGCTACGAAAATGATCGAAAAGCATCTTGGGAAGCCACAGACAAAGCAGTTCATGTTTCTGGTGTCCCTTATTTGTCTGCCCCATGTAAAAGGCTTCC